CTGGTATGCCGTTCAGTTGCGTATTATCGACACTACCTATTTAGTAGGCCATTTCTACGATATATGTAAAAACATTTATGATTTTACTACAGATTATTCGTTACTCCGATCGTAATATGAGTTTTACTTTAAATAAATTATAAGTTACTAGTTTGAAAATACATCATCGTATTTTCCATTAAATAATATATCATAATCATGTAGTAATTGAATTGTTTATCTGTATAGTTGTATGAGTGTACCTATGAAATTTCTCATAAAAGGTATTGACCTTGGGTCACTAGTAAGTGTTATGTGTCTATTGATGGAAATGTTATGTTCATTGAGTTCTTAACTGCTAATAATTTGAATAGTTTATGTAGTAATACAATACTGCAATATATTTAAATGTATTCGTGTATATAGTTACTACTTTATATAGTTTGCTTCGCAAGTTTAGAACAATTTTCATTATGATACCGTTTGCACAATAATATCTGCTAATACAATGTCTTTTAGTATGCAACTTACAACTAATTGTATTCATTTATGCATAAAAACATATTAAATTGCATTTAAGTTAGCCATTGATAAGACATGAGTTATAATGATAAGCAACTGCGGATTGGTTTTACTATTTTAAATAAAGATTTTTGTGATATAATGTTGGCAACGTCGACTGCAAAAACATTTTTTTATATTATTTTTATGCGGGAAAATTGTTGTTCAAAGTTGGTATACTGATCTCCGAAATTTAATTTGGTGATATCTCGCTGTTATCAAAATCGGGAAAACTGTATCAGCCCCCGTACATACAACCATCCCAATCACAACAACAAAACGTAACTGCCCCACAAACACAATCAGGTACTGTCCTTGAATTTTATTCAAATTCTGAGCAATTTGTGGATGGCAACCAGACAGGAGAGAAATATAATAAATAAACATGTATTTCCTGTGCACAATATTGTAATGTAAAATGCATTAAATAAATTATAAATACATAAAAACAGATTAATGTGTTAAATTTATTTATTAATATCATAACATTAATTTAATTAGGTACTTACTTTTATTTCATCTTTTAGTGCATCAATAATAGCTAGACAAACTTCCGGTACGATGCGGCTTATTGATTGATGTGATATCTTAAATAGGTATTCCAAGCTTACAAAGCTATCACCTGTTACCAGAAATCGGAGAGTGACTGCCAAACGCTCTTGGATCGGTATTGCCTTCCGCATGTTAGTGTCTTGTTTGCTGATTTTCGGTCCAATTTTAGTAAGAATAAATTCAAAATCTTCTGACGACATTCGACAGAAGTTTTGGAATTTCCCCGATGGTTCTGCCCGTAGAGCCAACAGCATATCTGAGGCATTATATCCAGTGGCGGTTTTGCCGAGGAGGCAAGGGAGGCAGTGCCTCCCTTGAAAATAATAGAAAATACATGGTTAATATTATTTAAATTATAAAATATTGTTTGTTTATATTTTCAAATACAGACGCTATTGTAAAAGAGAAATAAATAAAATATATATTTAAATTATGTATTAAAGGTATTATGAAGTGTACCGTACCCGGTCTAAGTCTTTAAACAAGACCATGGTGTCAAAAGGTAAGATCCAATACCGGTGCGGTCGTGCGCAACAGCAAATATAATATTGATATTGTGTATTACTATATACAATATTCTATGCTACGGCTGCCCCACCATACGTACCGTGTCGGCGGCGGTTTCCCACTTTCTCAGGAGGCAACCGTTGCCGCCGTTTTCGATGCGTTACTTGTGTACACAAATTTACACACACAGACGCACATAAAATATATGAATAGCGCATGCGCAATTTTCTGTGGAGACTGCACTCATCCGTTGCCTCCTTTAGAAAACGTCACAGGCTGTGACACATGGCGCCCAGCGGATAATCATTCTTAGGGAACAAATAGAGTTTAGGCATTCTGCATGTACAACTAATTAATTTTTATATCATATTGCCTACTTTATTGTACATTATCACTAAGTTATTATCAATAACAATTTTATAATAATAGATAATTTGTTGATTGCTTATATTATTATGATTATTCAATATTTCAATTTTATTATTCTAATTGCTGTGTGATAGGTACTGTGAGACGTGAGTCAGTAAGTGCAAGAGCTGAATTAAGTATCAGATTAATCTTTAATCAGTTTTGTTTGTTCCATAAGTTATTTTTTCATATTTTTTAAAAATGAATCCAATTTATGACCCGATTGTATTGCTTTTAGAACATCCTTACAGACGTTGGAGTACATTTGACAAAAACGATTTACTTAGGAAAGGTAAACCAACTCCTTCTCTGACACATTTATCTGCAGACAAAAATGGCTCAAAAGTATTTTGTAGGTCCTTTAATTCAAATGTATATATACTAAACATCCTTAGGTGTGTGGAAGTTTTTATTTACAGAGATTATTCTGTTGGCCATGCATTTTATTGAGTCAGTCAAATTCAGTTTGGATAACATTAGGATACGCTGATTTTAAAAATCTATCTAGAAGTATTCTGAGACATGAAGTTTCCAAAGATCATGTCCACAATTATTTAAATCTAAAAAATTTAGAAAAAAATACTACTAGTATTATAGACACAATAAGTGAGCATGGAAAATTATTTAAATTGTGTTTTAATGAAAATGTAAGGTTAAATAGGTTATGCATGGAACACATCATTGATTTGGTATTATTTTTGGCTAAGCAAGAGTTGGCATTTCGCGGACATGATGAAAGTTCAAATTCCATTAATAAAGACAATTTTAGAGAGTTAGTTGAATTACATTTTAGTAGATGCTCTTTAGAAGTACAAAATCATTACAAATCATTGCAGAATAAATTTACAGGTACATCAAAAATCATACAAAATGAGATAATTTTATGTATATCTGAATATTTATCTGATCATATTAAACATGAAATTAAACAATGCATGTTTTATTCCATACAAATTGATGATACTACAGATATAACTCAAAAGACACAATGTTCTGTAATTTTAAGATACATAACTAATAAATCTGAGTTGGTTGAACGTTTTTTTGGATTTTATGATGTCAGAAAAAACCATACTGCTGAAGGATTATTTAATTTAATCACTTCCCTTTTACTAGAGTTTAATATTGAAAAAAAATTAGTTGGTCAGTGCTATGATGGTGCTTGTGTGATGGCTGGGAATTTAAATGGCTTACAAGCTCGAATAAAAGAAATTGCACCCAATGCATTATTCACCCATTGTTATGCACATAAATTAAATTTAGTATTGCAACATGGATGTAATAGTAATAAGACATGTCGCATATTTTTTGCCAATATAATTGGAATATCTGCTTTTTTTCATAATTCAACTTCCCGTACTAATGTAGTTGACAGTATTATAGGTAAACGCATTCCCCAGTTTGTACAGACAAGGTGGGCATCGAGATCAAAAATTGTACATTTATTAGTTAAAGAGTGGATTAACTTTAAAGCAGTTTTTGGAGCTATAATAAATGATCCCAAGTCATCAGCTGATTCTATTTGTGGATCAGTTGGACATTTAAAAAATCTTAAATCTTTTGAATTTGCATTTTTAGCACACATTTTTAGTGATATATTTTTAATAACAGATAACTTATTCAACACATTGCAAAACAAATCATTTGACATTGAATATTGTTTAAGGAAAATAAGTATTGTATGTGATCTTATAAAAAACAAAAGAAATGAAACAGAATTTTTAAAAATATATAATGATGCAGTTGCTTTAACTAAATTGCCCAAACCTTCTAGAAACCATGCTAATATGGAATCAAGTTATAGAATTTTATTTTATGAAGTAATAGACAATATTTTAATGCAGTTAAGTGTTAGATTTAATGATATTGATAAATTAATATTTTTACAATTAGCTGATGTTTCAAAATTTAAAGATTATTGTGGAATATTCCCCATGTGTGCTTTAAATAATCTTATAAAAACCTATTCTAATATTTTTCATAATGTGGACAAATTAAAAGTAGAACTAGAGGTGTTGTATAATAATGTCAATTATCATAACCTACCACACATTTATGATTTGATCAAAATTTTTGAAAAAGATGGTTTAAAGGAAGTTATGCCTGAAGTATATAAGTTATTTTCATTAATTTTAACTATTCCATCTACTAGTGTTTCTGTCGAAAGAAGTTTTTCTTGTCTGAAACGTATTAAGACTTATTTAAGAAATAATACTTCTCAACATCGTTTAAATTCGTTGTCTACAATATCCATTGAAAAATTATTAATCCAACAGCTCAAAGAAAATGAACCATTTTATGAAGAAATTATCAATATATATGCCAGTAAAAAAGATAGAACTATTGTATTAATTTATAAAGTATAATATTATTTTTATACTTTTAATTATTTTGTCAGTTTAATTTTATCCTTCTGAAGATTTTTTTTTTTTAAGATTATTTTGTTACTAGAAAGACACTAGTCAATTTATAAACAAAAAACTGTGATAAATTTTTATTATTTATTCAAATCTGTTTTTGTGATTATACTTTTATATTAGTTCCTTAAATTTGTATATTGTATGTAATTTTTACTAGAAAGATACTAGTCAATTTAGAAACCAAAAATTGTTAATATTTAGATTTATAAATATTTACATTTGAATTTATATATTTTTTTATTTTTTTTTGCATCAATTTATTTCAACTATTTGTAACTCAAAACTAGAAAAGTAGAAACTAGAAAGACATTTTATAGGTTTATGTGGTTTTGTTTAAATTATTGATGTATAATACATTATATTTATATATTATATACCAGTAAATAATAATGCAAAATCTTAACTTACTAGTTACTTGAACTATGAGACATAGTGAAAATGAAACAGTCATCTGACTGATTTTTAAAGTAAAAATATCATTTTTAAACAAAATAAATGAGAACTGGGGGATTTGCGCTAATATATCTAAACTCTAGAGGCTGCAAAATTGTTGCCTCCTCAAAAATTTAATGCCAGAACCGCCACTGATTATATCTAGTAAATTTAATTTGATATAAAATTTCATAATTATCGCTGCATAAAATAGATAGAAATATCAATTTTAGAATCAACTTTATTATTTACCGTTCTCTACTTCTGTTTAACGACGTAATCCACCACCTCCTTCCACGTCCTTTTTTCTGTTTTTTCGCAATTAATAATTGACTACAAGATAGAACAATTACAGTAGCAGCAGCTGCAACTACTTCGTCCATTTTTTCTATTTCACTTTTCACACGGAACTGTAAGAGTATACTGAATCCAACATTCCAACATGACACTCGATCCAACGTTGGTCACAACGTGTAGGTTCATCCGTCAGTCAAACATTGGTTCCAGTGTTCAGCCAACGTTTGCACGCCAATGTTGGAGCCAACGTTTGACACATCGTGTAGCACCGCCTTAATCAAATACGTTGTGTTACCATAACAATTCCGTTTATATCTTATGCGACAATAAACCGGCATAAGCCGATTGTTTTATAACGAAAACAGAAGTGTGTTGATTATTTCTTTACCTTCGCATTCCGCCGTCCCATTACATCTCTAGGTACGCATCAAGAATTAGCTATCGATTTGGAGATACAAAAGGCCGTAAAGATTACGTACAAGATATCTGCCTTACTTCGCCTAATATAGAGTCAATGGCCACTATATCAGACAATATTTTGATTACGTCCAAGTCACCGGCATGACAGAAAGTTACTTCGTATATATAAATACAACTTGCATTTGTATAGTGCAATTTATTTTGCAATTTTTATGGAATTGTTGGTACAATTATGCAATTTTTGAATGTTTTTAATGCAATTAAATCCGGTCTTTAGTAATGACAGACTAATAAAGATTATATTTTTCCCTATTCTCTGTTTAATATTTACTATAAAAACAAGAGTTTTTCCCTAAACATTCGATATATTATTTTTCGCTATAATTTAGTTTCGTTAATTTTATTTTCGATATTTTTAATTCGCTATTTTTCCATTCGTTATTTATTTTTCGCTTTTTTGGCCGGTTACCAATTAATATTACAGTAATATGATTGGCATGAAGTTAATTTTTTTTATTAACATTACCTACTTTTTTCAGATAAACTTAAAGATTCCAAAACTGCAAAAAAATACAATGCCATGCTTGTTTCCTGGACCAAAATATTTGTCTAATCCACAGAAAAAAAGGAAATCCCCAACAAAAAGAGTTTCTTTGGGTAGTAATTGTAGGAATTCTAAAAGCATAAAACTAACCGAAGTAATTTTGAACTATTACATTAAATATTTTTACTTATACAATATATTTTATATAGATATTCACGGATGAAAATTATTTTAATACCTATACATATTATTATGTTTACCTATAACCAATATGAACTTTGTGTTTGGTTATAATAATAATATCTAGTATATTTGTTTATATAGGTTGATTCTAAACTATCTGAAACTGTTATAAATAAGGATGTATTGAATCAAGAAACTTCTGAATTTCATAAATCTTCTATCATTTCTACTATAGAATACTTTAAAAACATGTGTAGGGAAATTGAGTTGACTAAACTTCCAGATAATTGGAAATATGAAATCAACAGATGTAAAAATACAAATATTACATTTTATACTGTACAATGTTATGAGAATGAGGTTGGACTTTTTATTGAAAAACAGATATCTCTTGAAACGGATATGATTGTTAAATGTAAATTATATGATGTATTTGTTAACATTCAAGATATATGTCCAAAATTAAAAGTGTTGACATTTGATGAACTGATTTTAATTATAAATGCTGTTAACACTAAACAAGTTTGTAAAGGTGGACCTTTAGTTAAAAAATTTTATGGAATAACAGTTGACTGTGCAGATATAGTTCAAAATCATTGACGACATAAAAAATGCACATTTTTAATTGATATTTCATCTATAGTTCGTGCTCAGACACCGTTCAGTCCGCACGTATATTGTCTCGCACACCGCTTATCTGATAGTATAGTCGTTAGTGCTCGCCGTTACGCCCTGTGGTCATTACGTTATCAAGCTGACGGTAATGTTTAACTTATCGTACATCCCAAGTTTAATAACATCACTAACTCGCTATCGAAATCACCATGAATAATAATCAACCAAACCGTTTGAATCAAACCTAAATGTATCAGCTGGTGGCATTACATTGAAGCATTTAATGCAGATGTAGTTCATCCAGGTAATTCTCGTGCTATTCCAAAAATTACTAAGGAACGTTCCTTATCTAATTTGATGAAAATGCGAGTGCATTTAATGACACAGGTAATATATTTAATTTTAAAATCTAAATTAAATAATTATTCAAAACTTTAATGAAATATTTATAGCCAAATAATTCATATTAAATAATAGTTATGATTACTTATAGGCAATTGTATTTCTAATAGGTTTGGTATGTTTATAATATTTTTAGTATACATAGTATGAATGTATTGAATTATGCAGGTTTTCATTCGCTCAATGGCATGTGGTATAGAGTTTTAAAGGCGCAGAAAAGTTATTGGTTTAGGCGGTAGTGAGGAAACACAAAAATTCACATTATTGTTAAATATTTTATTTTATATATTGAATCGTAGATATGCTGCTGAAAGAATTACCAAGTCCAGTAGAGACTTCAGGGTAACTGAATAACACTTTACTATGAATTATATTATATTAAGCATTAAAATATGTTTAATTTAAACATGACATGTTATTTTTTGTATTGGTAGATTATGGAAGATGCTGAAATTTGGCTTGAAATTGGGAAATAAATGTAAAGAAAACAAAGTTAAATCAAAATGAATTTCTTACTTCCTCTACAGTAGAAGAGCTCCGCATTACAATACGTTCATCTATAGAGCTTAGTAAATACCTACTATATGACTGTGGATTTAGCTATGTACTAACAAGAAAAATTTACCAAGACCCTTTGGAAGTATTTACTTTAAATTATGATTTCAAATATAAATTTTACTAATATATGGTCTATTTAAACTTTAGAAATTTTTCGGCATGATAAGGCAAGCAGCAGGTCCCAATGACCACCCTACAGGCCCTACATTTCTACATCTATACCGTATTTTATCAATTTATTCTGTTTTGCGTCCTCCTAAATCAGGAAATTGTACAATACTTGATTGCCAGGCTCCAAAAATTTCTTTATCAGAGCTCAAAGATATATTTAATTGTGAATCAAAAGTTAAGCAAAAAATAAATATTTTAAAGTCTAAAGTTGATTTGCTTGTTGATGAAGGCTCTTGGGAAGCTGATGAAATATTTAAAGATCATAATTACAACAAAGCTTTAGTTTTGAATTGTATTATATACTATACTACAGGGTATGTATTAAAAAAAATTGCCAAAAATATATCTTGCATGCTTTGCTTGAGCGCATTAATAGTTAAAGATAAGTTTGTTGATTTGCCAGAAGCTGAGCTAATTAATATTAAATCAAAAGAAGGATTAACACATCCCAATATAAATTTATTTCACTTTTTATCTAATGTAGAAAAATGCTTTGCTAAACTAGTTATTTCCATGCAAAGAACATAAAAATGACGTAATTACATCTATTCTAAGCAAATATATTATAATGCGAATGCGTCATTTTGCAGTTCAAGAAAATCGCCAAGAAAATAAAAAAAGCAGAGAGAAAAAAAAATAGCTAAATTAATTTCTTCATAAAATGAACTAAAAACTTTTTATAATTTTGTTTATTATTTTTATGTCCACAAAGTTGTAGGTTGAGGTTTGCTTAAAGCTTTTATTATAAATAGCATTATTTAATAAAAATTGTATTGTTTGGTTTATTTTAAATTTGCTATTGCAGAATTGTTTTGTTGCAGATGCAGTATGGATAGCAAAAAAAAAGTGAAACTTGTTACAAAAATTGTGATTTAACTTGTTACATTATAACCAAAATTCGTATAGTTTTATTTCTTATACTAAAATCATTAATTATAAATACTACCTAGTACCTACTCACAGTGCCGCAACTAGAATTTTTGAGCCCTAGGACAAAAGATTATTTAGGGGCCACTATCTAGCATCACTGCACCAGGGTTTAAATTAGTGAACAAATTTATTGGAGTCAGTTAGATAAAATTCAACAAACAAACATAATCTTTATTAAAAAGTATTTCATACATGTAAAACATACATTTTAGTAAAGAACAACACTTTTAATATCCATCATATTAATATATTATAAATAAAAACACATGAAAGAATAAGTTAATTATAATAGAATAAAGTTATACATTTTATAAAAATAATATGATGTTAATATTTTAAACAAATTTCATCTTTCTTGCTTTCAAATTAGCGAAATCTTTAATTAATTTTCTGTTTTTAATTCTGAAGTCCGCTTTTGTTCTATTGAGTATAGCAATGTTTGAAAGTCGATTTTGGCTAAAAGAATTTCTTAAATAATTTTATAATTTTAATTTTGAGAATGACCTTTCAGCCGTTGCTACTGTAACTGGCAGTGTTAAAATATTGTACAAGCTACTAAGATTTCTGAGTAACTTTTCTATATCATTGGTAAGTATAAAATTGGCCATTTCATTTATAGTTTTAAATTTTATTTTTATTAATTCTTTTAATGATAAAAATCTGACCAGTAAAATCAGAACTAATGTCATCTTTATACGTTTGAATAAAATCATATGACTCCTTTACAATATTATCTTCTCTTAAACATAAGAGATTATTTGGATTAAGAAAATCAAATGTAGTACATACATTGTCCATTGCTTTAAAACGAATATTAGCTGCATTAAAACAGTATCTATAATAGGATAAAATACTTTATTTTAAAGTTTTCTGTTGTTATAGTTAACCGCCTATCTCCATCGACTCATCAAAATGTTTTTGCATATCTGACGAGGTTCAGTATATGTAACAGGTAAGCTCCATCTCAAACATAATGACTTGGCATTATTTACTATATCTTCATAATTATTTCTCAATTCATTTATTAAATAATAAACATCTTTAATCTGTCTCGTGCATTTTGTAGATTCATATCTTGTTGTTGTAACATTTTGAAACACCATGAAGTGGCCGTAATATGTTTTCCCAAACACTCAACATCAACACATTGAAAGATTCCATTTTTGTAAGATTGAGCTTCACTTCGTTCGTCAGACTTCTTACTGATTAAACTTATGTTAATCAATGACTTAAGTACATCAATATATCGTTGTTTAGAGCTGAGACTGATTCGTGTCTGGCTTCCCACCGAGTTGGACATATTTTTCAATACTTTCTTTCTAATTTTGCAAGCAAAGTCTTCACTGAAAGCTAACGTGGCCACCGAGAGCGCTGTACTAAAAAGTTAAATAATAGCTGAACAGTGGCAAAGAAATTATTGCGACGTGAGTGCTTTGGCTGCATCAGAAATAACCAAATTCAAATTATGTGCGCAGCAATGAACAAATGGTGCATTTGGTGCCACTGACATGATACGTTTTTGGACTCCACTATTACGCCATCTATGAATCACCATCAGTATCCTTGTCCAGACAGTTTTCACATTTAGATCTAAGATTCAAAATACTATACAAGCAGATTTTCATAATCGCAGACCTTCATGTTTTTAATTCAAAATTCTAAAAAGATTCTTTTATTTCAATAGATTTTTTATGGTAATCAATCACAACATAACGTAATACAACACTAATTGATCTTTTTGTGATGTCTAAGTAGAAATCCATTATAATAGAAAACAATTTTGAATCTTTTATTTCTTTACATAATAAACGCCGAAGTTCAACAGCTAATATCTATAATTTCGTTTTATTCCAACTAAATATTTGTTTAGACTCTCATTGTTTAACAATTCATATAAAATTGGATCAAAATTCAGACATCAGTTTGACAGTTCTTATAAAATTACCTTCACTATTGGATCTACTTTTTCCACTACCTTCGTTTCCCCTGAGTGCTGTATTTACCTTCAGTCAAGTACAATTATTTTTGATTATTCGGGTTAGTACATTTTCCAAAATCTCGCTTCTTTGGAAATTTTCTTCAGTATTCTATTTATAGTTTTTATTCTCGTAAATGAAGTCAGACACTACTGGCATAAATATGTGTTGATTTTCATGATATTAATTTTATCATTCATGCCGTATCCAGTCATTTGATCCTACAATCATTGTTTTGAATCCTTTGGTTTCTGTTGCAAACAACCAACACGTCTCATACACGACGTTTAAGCAAAATAGAATAACAAAAGCCATAAATCGAAGAGATTTTGAAACCTGATTTTGTTGTCATTATAATAACTGGCTGAAATTTTCTTAAAACTCCACTACCATCTGGTGAGAATGAAAGTTAATAATAGGCTCATAGACCAATCTATTATCTCTATTTCACTTATCATCTTGCATATATCTCTTCAAATGTTCTACGGTCAGTATTGGATATTCAGTTGAAAAATCTAATCCTAAAAATTATTAGTTATACATTAAATATTAAATACAATATAATTACCTTCTATTGACTTAATAAACATTGCATTACCACCATCTCCATCTAGTCTTGATACATTTGAATTTGCAGAAATAGTTTCAAAGCTATAATATTGGAATTTTAATTAGCAATAACTATCTCATGGTGACCATCAAGTATCAACTAACACATGGTTTAATAAAAAGTACTAGTAGAAAAAAATATTATTTTAGTTAAGTATAGTCAGTAGGTATAGGCACCTACTATTTATTAATTATTTAATAGTGTAAGAACTAAGAGGTAATAAACTAATAAAAATTATTAAAAATGTATACAAAATAATTATGTATTTCTTACTACCTATGATATCAATTTCTATATTAATTATAGTTTATTAAATACAACCATATAATTACCTTGGG